GTGCCCTGTAAGGCAGGACCCCAAACTATATTAAAGAGTTTGGACTTTATCTTAAGAACATTGAGAAGAAATTCAAAGATTTTAAGCAGACAAATAACATGACTGATGAATTTTTTTGGGAAGATCACTTTGAGTATATTATGGAGAAGGAATTAGGGGTCTTAGTTCAGAGGGCAAAACTCAAGGCAAGGAGCCCAGTTAGGAGGCTGCAATGACCCAAGGAAGCAATGATAGCAAGACTGGGGAAATGGCATGTGTCCAAAGAAAAAATAAATAACAGTAGACTAGAAGAATTAACAGGTCATATGCCAAGTAGCCATAAGTAACCAGAAAGATACAACCATGAGTGCAAGCCTACCCACTGGGTTGGATCTTCTTGGAAACTGGGAGTGGTGGAGCCTACTGTGCTATACCTCCAAGGACACTTCAGTCGAACACTGCTGACTGCCTCTTTCAAGAGCTGGCCCTTGCCCCAGTTGGTAGCAGTAGACCTTTCCAGTATCTTTCTCCTCATTCCTCCCTCACTTGGGTTGCTGGAATCTCAAGTAGGTTTCAAGACCAACTGAAAATAAAAGTGTGGGTGAGGATCACGAGAAGAGAAATCTGGGTGGCTACCAAGTCTCAATATCTTGGGAAGACTCCTGCAGCTCTGCCGTGTCAAATTGATAAAATAGAGAGGAAATAAGAAAACAGAAGGCCAGGGCAAGTTTCTTGAACTTAGTTCAAAAGAGTGTTAAGAACAGAACTTCTTGAAGGACATTCCATCGAAATGACCATTATGATGGCCTTCTATCGATGTTAGCCAGGGCTGGTCACTCTCAATGAATTACAGTAATCATGATGTTTGAGTTTCATGAATATGAGAGAGAGAGAGAGAGAGAGAGAGAGAGAGAGAGAGAGAATATTTACCTTTATGATGAATGTACCTTATGAAAACTGGAACAGTGACCTTTGTCCTAAACTATCCCCTCTCAGAACTCTCAATCCAGGAAGAATACGATTTCCTTTTCAATTTAAAAACAGGAACATATTAAGCTTAGGCTACAGTAAAATGTCATGTTGTGGCACAATATTCTCTTCCTGTTAGTAGAAATTACCTGTCTCGAAATGCACAGGAAAAAAAAAATTAAAACAAGGAAGTGACTTTAAAGTAGTCATTTCCATGGGTAGGTTTTGTAACCTGTGAGGCAATCTCAACCGTCATCCCCCTACTCCTTAACTAGAGCTGAAACCTAGAAAAAGGAACCTTGCCTAGTTGGAATCCCAGACCTCCAAGCGGGACAATGTTGACTTCCTATCCCCATGGTCTCCTGAGAAGTTGCCACAGCACAATTGTTTGATATATTTTTGTTGAATTTTTGAAAATGTATATGTTTTATTAACTCACATATACCCAATGCCAAACCCACAGTATGTGGTTGGTAAATATTTGATGACTGAATGAATAACTAGACCCCACCCAAACTATGACACACTGGTCCCCTGAATTCTTTTGCTCACTGTTCCATGCTTTCTCCTTTTCAATGCCATTCTCTCCCTTCCTCATTGCTATCATTTAAGAAACAGCACTGGTGCTCAGGCTCTGGGAATCGACAAACCTATTTTCAAAACGCAGGCACTTAGTTCTACTACTTACTAGGTGAACCATTCGTTTCACTTGTGGTTTCAAGTCCTTCACCAGTAAAGAAGAATAGTATCTAAACTGGAGAGCTCTTGTGGGGTTGACATTAGACGTAGCATCATAAAGCCTGAGCACAGTGCTTCCGAGGCAGTAAGCACTCAGCAACACTGACATATATGGTTTTTTAGCTGCAACCCCATTCAGATTTTGTACTTCTCCAAATATTAGCATCCCCCACACACACAAAAAAGGGCAAAATAAGCGGTGGCTTCCAACCTGGGTTTTGCCGAACCCTCAGAGCTGCTGAAACTGTTCGATGTCAATTCCATCTTGCTACAAAATACAGTCGCTCTGGGAAGGAGGGAGATGCTAGGAAGATGGGGAAACCCCACCTTCTTTTCCAATAAGAGAGGATCCACTTGGATTTCTTTAATCAGTTGGAGTTCTTTGAAGACTGAAAACAATTCGCCTGCTGGAGTAAAAGTTAGGAACCGTTATCGCATACCATGTTGCTTCCCCACATCTGTTTTAGTGTGGCTGTGAAGACAGCTAGTTCCATTTCCAGTAACTGGCTGGGTTTTCTTGGGCAAATCACTTCACTTCTCTCCTCTCAGCTCCCCATCCCTCGAAATGCGGACTTTGGAAAGATAATGTTGACGGTTCGTGTTTTCATGTTAGTTTTAGTTCTGGAAATCTGAGAAGAGTTATTCTGAAAGGCTTAATAAATTAGAGCTCACCATTTAACTCCAGTCATCATTTAGCTGTATTATCCTGGGGCACGATACATATGCAGACACGTGTTGAATATCAAATGAGCGAGTGATTTAATTGTTGCTGGAAACGGTGACAGGCTGTTGCACCGACTGCGCCCTGGTGGGGCCCGTGCTAGGGGACAGCAGCTGTCTTCTAACCAGCCGAGGGCCTGGGGAAGTGACAAGAGCATGACTCAGTAGAGTGGACTCCACAGTTTAGAAGTCTGGATGTCTTGCTTTCCCTATGACCCAAGAAATCGTAAATCCAATTAATCAACCAATCCTACTGATGATGTCACCCGTGCACATCCCAAGTCCACCTCTAGCCTCCTCAACTACCACAGGAGACCACCATCCCAGCGTCTGCCCAATTCCACCCTTACTACTTCCAATCTGTTCTAAAGGGGTGCTCGCTATTCCCTGTGACTGGAACGGGCACGCTTCTCTCAGGCACTGTCACCCATTTCATTCTATAGCTAGGTGTTATTTTCTGTTTCTCCTGGGAGGCTGTGAACCCCAGGAGGACAGAGACCTTTCTTACTGCTATAGCCCAAACCCGCTTCCCACCTCATGCCCACCCCAAGAAGCCTTTTCAAAAATAATCAACGAATGAATGCTCAAGGCTGAAACCACGTCTTAAATACTTAAATCTCATGTCATCAACACTGAGGGCAAGGCCGATGCAAAGCAAGCACGCAATAATGGATCGTCCCGTGTGAGACTCATTTAATGAAGGGATGGCTCTCCTCTCTGGGTTTTATTTTTAAAGACTGTTTATTTGACAAATCGAGAGAGCCAGAGAGGGAGAGGGAGAAGCAGGCTTCCTCCTGAGTGGGGAGCCCGATGTGGGGCTTGATCCCAGAACCCCGGGATCAGGAGCTGAGCCGAAGGCAGATGCTTAACCAACTGAGTCCCCCAGGTGCCTCTCCTCTCTGGGTTTTAGACAAAAGTAATTGAGTCTTTTCCACTCTTCCAGTTGTGTGACTTTGAGCCTGGATCTCATTAACTGTAAAATGAGCTAATGCTTATTTCACAGGGTTGCTCTAAGATGAGTGAAGGGTTCTGCAGAGCATCTTAGTGTGCCTTCCCAGTAACCCCACTAGCACTGGGGAAAGGTTCAGGGAAGAAGTCTAAAAAGAAGAAAGCAAATACTCAACTAGGAAAAAACAAAAAACAAAAAACCTCCAACCAGCAAGTCTTGTGTACAAGAAGTCACAAACAACTCCCTTGAAGTACCTTGTCTTGGTATAATCCAACTTGCTATTAAAATGTTGATGGAGGGATCCCTGGGTGGCGCAGCGGTTTGGCGCCTGCCTTTGGCCCAGGGCGCGATCCTGGAGACCCGGGATCGAATCCCACGTTGGGCTCCCGGTGCATGGAGCCTGCTTCTCCCTCTGCCTGTGTCTCTGCCTCTCTCTCTCTGTGACTATCATAAAAAAAAAATATATTAAAAAAAAATGTTGATGGAGAAAGGGGCATGGTGGTGGGGGTGGTAGTCAATTTTGTTTTGCCCTATTGCAGATCCCTTCTAGCAACGACTTGACAGCCGTCTGCCACTTGGAGTTGTTCAACTATGCGGTAAGTAGTATTCATAAGAGAAAATGCAGCAGGCGCTCACAACGACTGGGCAACTATTTGGAATCTCTTCAGAGCATCGTAACTGAAACCTCTCAGTGGCAAGTTTTAGGATAAAGAGTTGAATCCTAAACATGGCCCGCAAGGATCTGCCCTTTGACCACCATTTATGCCTCTTTCCAATCCTAATCTCCTCCTTGTTCCTGGAGCTCTCAGTCGGTTAGTTTTCTTTCCATTTCAGCCACAGGATCTTTACACAAGTGCTTCCCTTTGCCTAGACCCTCCCTCAGTTAACTAGATTCCCCTTGATAGCGCAAGGTCACTTCTTTAGAGAATGCCCTGACCTCCAGCCTAAGTCCCAGAATCTTCCTTCCATCATAGGGTTTCCCTTTGCAGTGATATGCCCAATCGTGTGGATATTTTTGCCTACGGCTCCTCTCCGCCCATAATTTGTACTCTAAGAACAGAATCAATGAGTGACTAGGCTCAGGGCCCGGAAAGTTCCCGGCAAGCGGTAGGTATTCAGTCAACAGCTGTTGAATAACCGAATAAATCAAGTTTCCAGGACTCGTGCGGGGATTGAGGACGCAAGCGGGAGGCCAGATCCCTGCCTCCCCTGTGCGCCCGCGGCAGAGGGCCCCGCGCCTCCTTGCAGCAGGTGGGCGCCTCCTCCACCTGCCCCTGCCCCAGCCGCAGCCGCAGAGTGTGCGGAGGAAGGGGTGGGTTTAAGGGCGGATGCTGGAGGCCATCCGTCCGCAGAACGGAGGGCAGGTCCCGGTGGGCGCCCCAGGCCCCCGCGAGGCCGCCCGCTGACCCCTCTCGCCACCCCCGCGGCCCAGAGCGGCGCGCCCACCTGCGCCGGCCCATGCGCCCAGGGCGCGCGCGATCCGCAGCTTCAGCCGCAGCCTCAGCCCCCGGCCGCAGCCGCAACCTCAGGCCCCAGCCCCCGCCCCCGCCCCCGCCCCCGCCGAAGTCCGGCCCCGCCGCCGCCTCCTCCCCGCCTCCCGGGTTTGTCCCGCCGGGGCCCAGGTCCCCGCGCCGCGGAGCCAGCAGGTGCCGGACGCCCGAGAGGGCGCCGTCCTCCCGCGGGCGGGACCATGAAGGTCGAGTTTGCGCCGCTCCACATCCCGCTGGCGCGGCGGCTGCAGACGGCCGCGGTGCTGCAGTGGGTCCTGTCCTTCCTGCTGCTCGGTAAGGACCGCGCTCGGCCGCCCCGGACCCAGCCCCACTCCGCGGGCTCCGTCCCGCCCTCGCCGACGGTCGCCGCGCGAGGACGCGCCGGGGTCCTCCAGGCCTCCCTCCGTGCACGCCGCGGCGGGCAGGTCGCGGGGAGCTCCCGCCCCCTCGGGGCTCCCCTTCTGGCTGCTCCCCCGCGTGCACGCGCTCACTCGGGGGCCCCCCTTCTGGTTGCTCCCCCGGGGCCCCCTTCTGGTTGCTCCCCCGCGTGCACGCGCTCACTCGGGGCCCCCCTTCTGGTTGCTCCCCCGGGGCCCCCTTCTGGTTGCTCCCCCGCGTGCACGAGCTCACTCGGGGGCCCCCTTCTGGTTGCTCCCCCGGGGCCTCCCTTCTGGTTGCTCCCCCGGGGCCTCCCTTCTGGTTGCTCCCCCGCGTGCACACGCTCACTCAGGGCCCCCCTTCTGGTTGCTCCCCCGAGGCCCCCTTCTGGTTGCTCCCCCGCGTGCACGAGCTCACTCGGGGGCCCCCTTCTGGTTGCTCCCCTGGGGCCCTCTTCTGGTTGCTCCCCCGCGTGCACGAGCTCACTCGGGGGCCCCCTTCTGGTTGCTCCCCCGGGGCCTCCCTTCTGGTTGCTCCCCCGCGTGCACGAGCTCACTCGGGGCCCCCTTCTGGTTGCTCCCCCGCGTGCACGAGCTCACTCGGGGGCCCCCTTCTGGTTGCTCCCCCGGGGCCCCCTTCTGGTTGCTCCCCCGCGTGCACGCGCTCACTCAGGGCCCCCCTTCTGGTTGCTCCCCCGAGGCCCCCTTCTGGTTGCTCCCCCGCGTGCACGAGCTCACTCGGGGGCCCCCTTCTGGTTGCTCCCCTGGGGCCCTCTTCTGGTTGCTCCCCCGCGTGCACGAGCTCACTCGGGGGCCCCCTTCTGGTTGCTCCCCCGGGGCCTCCCTTCTGGTTGCTCCCCCCGCGTGCACGAGCTCACTCAGGGCCCCCTTCTGGTTGCTCCCCCGCGTGCACCCGTGGCACACGACTGCTGGCCAGCTGCTCTGCGCTGAGCTGCTGCGGGCCTTACCTACAGCCACGGGCTCGGCTGGCAGTTACATAGCCTGGTGAGGCCTGGCGCGTGGGTGCACCCAGATGTAACCAGGACCCAGGTGAGGCCTGGCGTGTGGGTGCACCCAGATGTAACCAGGACCCGGCCCAGCCACGCAGCGCTGCTCTCTAGCCCCACAGAAGGCAGACATTGTCTATCCGCAACGCAAGTTACTACAGCTAACTTTTGCGTGTTCCGGAGCATCTCGGGGCAAAAAGGTACCTTTGTACAAGGAAGGGCTGCCCCAAATATCAGATGGGGTCGGGTGGCTTCTGTATGTAAAGAGCTGGACTGCAGGCTGTGTTCTAGCGGGTTCCAGAGTCAACTCCATCTAGAAGGAGGCAGTCACTAGATGGAGCCGGTGCTTGACCTGGGTGCTTTGTCCCCTGCATGTTTGTTCAGCTCTTGGAGTAAATGGGGGATGATATGAACGAGGGAGGAATTCTCAGGAACTTGCCCTCTTCTGAAGGCTAACGTCATTTGTGTGCCACAATGAGGTCATGGGTCGTCTGCCGTAGAGGCCACAGGGATAACAGTAATAAACTCATCGCACTGTAGACCTCTGCATTTTTGAAATGGTTTCAAATTTTTGTTTTGAAGATTTTATTTATTCCTGAGAGACATAGAGAGAAGCAGAGACATGGAAGGAGAAGCAAGCTCGTGACACGGAGCCCAATGCAGGACTCGATCTTAGGACCAGGATCATGCCCTGAGCCAAAGACAGATGCTCAACTGCTGAGCCCCCCTGGGGGGCGTCCCAGGTTTCACATTTTGAATGCCTAGGTCAAGTGGCTCTCCACCCTGCATTCACATTAGAATCACTGGAGGAGCTTCTAAAAATTTCAGATGCCTAGGCCCTGTCCATAGAAGGTCTTGTTCATCTGTTAGAGAATGGAGCCCATGCATCAATGTGGTTTTTTTAAAGATTTTATTTATTTATTTGAGGGGGAGATAGAGAGGGCAGGTGCGCACACAGGCGAGGGTGCAGGAGCAGGGGAGGGAGTAGCAGACTCCGTGCTGAACAGGGAGCCCCATGCAGGGCCCCATCTCAGGACCCCAGGGTCACGACCTAAGCTGAAGGCAGACACTTGCCTGAGCCACCCAGGTGTCCCTCAATATTTTGTGTATCTATGTAAATATATAAATATGTGTGTGTGCGTAAACACAGACTCTCCGAGTGACCCTAGTGTACGACTTACGACTCGGGTTTACTGAAAAAGGAACTTCGAACCGTTAACACATTAAGTCCTCCCAGGCCAGACTGTGGACACAAGTGTGCCAGCATCACACTCCATTTTGAACTAGAGCAGAGGAGCATTGACATAACACACTCACTGCGGGCCTGGTGTGTGCCGGGTCCCTCCGCGCCATACGCTCGTAACCCTGCAATCTTCACAACCACGCTCTGAGGCAACGGGTGTTGGTTCCTGCCCTCGTTGGACAGATGAAGGGACCGACAGGTGACATGGGCTGTTGGAGGTCACAGGGCTAGTGGGGGGCGGGGGCTGGATGCAAACCCAAGTGTTGCACCCGGGGTCCCTGCTTTCACCACTGTGCCACCTACTTGAATGGCTTGGACTCGGAGACTATCTTCCTCGCTGATCAGTCACAGCTCTGGTGGCCCACTGTCCTTTCTCTCGTGGCCTTCATCATGGCTTGTCATTACCGTCCTCGCCCGGAGGCAAGCTCTCTACCCCGTGTGTGTCTCGCTGTATTGACCAAGGGACCCTCACAGCCACCTGTAAGGTGGGTGCTACCCCTGTGGACCTTTTACAAGCGAGGGCGCTCGAGGTGGAGCGAGTTGCTCAAGGTCACAGGGCTCTAAGGTGGTGAAGCCACAGATGTCAAACGTGAATGAACTGGTGACTTAGGTTTATAACTAATGATTCTTAATTTGGGTCCGACTGGAGTGGCTTGCAGATCATTTAAGTGCTTTTATTGCATGAATCTGATATTTGTCTTACCAGGAGCATGTTATTTTGTACTCTATATTTTGGTAATTGTATTTTTGGAAACTTTCAAACACACGGGGGCGCCTGGGTGGCTCAGTCAGTGAAGTGTCTGCCTTCATCTCAGGTCATGACCTTGGGGTCCTGGGAACAGCCCCATGGGGGGGGGGCGTCCTGCCCAGCTGGGAATCTGCTTCTCCCTCTCCCTCTGTCCCTCCCCCTGCTCGTGCTCTTTTCTCACTCACTCTCAAATAAATTAATTAAATATTTTTTTAAAAAAACTTTCAAGCATACAAAAAGCACAGAGAAGTGTATGAAGTGTCCCATGCCCGTTACCTGGGTTTATAGTTATTTTAACAATTTGCCATATTAGTTTCAGCTGTGGTTTTTGCAGAACTATCTTAAAACAACTCCTTATATTTTAATCCCAAGTACTTTAGTAGGCGCTTGTAAAACTGGCTATTTTTTATGTAATCATATTACATGTGTAGTATAATCACTTAAAATCACTTGAGCTAAGTTCACATTTCCTACACTATGTCAAAAATACACTTTTATTGGTGATTTATTTGAACCAGGTTCCAAGCAAGACCCTTTGTGTTGCATTTGGTTTTTACCTGTCTTTTGGTTTGGAACTATGTTCCTGGTTTGTTTTCTTGTCAGAATAGCACCAGGGAAACCAGGTTGTCCTGCAAGATGTCTCTCCCCTTCAGGGTTTTCCCTGATCGTTTCTTTGTTGTGTTAACCTGTGCCTCAACCTCCTGTTTGTCTTCTATAGTGGAAGTTAGATCTGAGGCTTGATTAGATTTAGGGGAAGACCTTTGTGGCAAGGTCTCTTCCCACACCCTGCCGTGTGCTTCATGTCACATTATGTCAGGATGTACATCAAGTCTAGTTGTCCCATTAAGAGCGTCTAAGAGTAATCAGGGTGCAGGCAGGAAGTGATCTGAGGGCTGGTAATTGGCATGTGCAAACAAATTCTCCATTGACTGTTGTTGCCCTTTCACCTTGTGGTTTGAGTCTCCATCAGTGATCCTCGCTATTTGGACTCCAAAATTCATCCTATCCTTCATTCTTCACATACTAGCCAGAATTTATGCAAAGAATAATCCGCCCCCCCAATCATCTAGGGCCATTTGACTATACCCTACAATTCAATTCTTACTGGGAATGTAGGATAAGAACTTACTTACTTCCATTTAATTATCAATTTCAGAGGAAGGAGTCGATGTAGTAGCTACTTCCAATGGTGACAAGAGTCTTTATTAACGACGTTATTTTAAGATCTCTAAATCAGAATCTTGGCATGCATTTTCTTTCCAGGAAATGACTTTAAGCTCTTAGACATTGAAATACATTTTTGAAATCCCAAAATGTTTCATTTAGTCATGAAACCAAACACTCTTTCCTTGAGATAAATGTTAAATACCTGTCATCCAGCATTATAACATTGTATTCGTTTCAGGTGGATGACATAGGGATTTGATACGTGTGTGTATTATGAAATGATGGCCACCATAAGTTAAGTCTATCACCACACATAGTTATATTTTTCCTTGTGATAAGAGCTTTTAAGACTCACTCTCTTAGCTTTGAAATACAATACAGTATTGTCTCCTGTAGTGACCATGCTGTGTGTTACACCCCCAGGACTTATTTATCTTATAAATGGGAGTTGGTACCTTTTGACCACCTTCAGCCATTTTGCCCACCCCTCTGCCCCCTGCTTCAGGCAACCACCCATCTGTTCTCTGTATTTATGAATTAGTTTGTTTCTGTGTTTGTGTTTTTAGAGAGGGAGGGGAGCCTGATGTGGGGCTTGACCTCACCACCCTGAGATCATGCCCTGAGCTGAAGCCAAGTCTGATGCTTCACCAACTGAGCCACCCAGACACCTCTATGGATAAGTTTTTTTGTTGTCTTTTTAACATTTCACACACAAATGATATCATACAGTGTTCTCGGTCTCATCTATTCCA